CATGTGGGTGTGGCAGCATTTAATCTTTGGACCCAGGAAGCACAATGTCTAAGGCCGGCCCTGTCTATCCAGAGCTTGGTGCAAAAGTCTCTAATGATGCGCTCGCTCTACGCTTTCTGCTGACTATTCCCTAGCATACACTTGTCCACTCCTTGTCTTCCAGTAAGAAGTTCCTGGTATGCAGTCTGGGGCTGAGAAAAAGATGGATGTAGTGAGTGTAGATGGGACATGCCACAGTGTTAGAGAGACCGAAGCAGAAAGAGCATTTGCACAGTGAGCAAAGTCAGCTTTGCCTTAACTAATTTTATTGTCAGCCATTTCACAAACGTTTTGTTCTGCTACATCCCTCTTAAGCTTCCATACTTAATTCCCTCTGCACAAAGCAAGAGCATATGAAGAGCAGTTAATCCGGCCTGCCCATTATTCACAATGATCTAGCTCAGGGATAGGCAACCTTCAGCACTCCAGATGTTGTGGACTACATCCCCCATAATGTTCTTGCACCCATAATGCTGGCAAAGAATCACGGGTAGTCCAAAACATCTGGAGTGCCGAAGGTTGCCTATGCCTGATCTAGCTAGTAAAGGGTCTATTTTATTGGACTTTTGTAAAAAAAAACACCTTCGACTATAAGATTAATCATGCAAGCTTTTTTTTTTGTGAACGTTTGGCCTAATATTAATGTAAGTTTGGCCTTTTTTTATGCGTGGCTTTGCTAATGAGTTAAACGTATATGATAGCTTTATGTGCCGCCCACATGAGGGGGGAATTGTGAAAATCTGAAATGACTTTGAAATATATCCATATATGTTCTTGTGTTTCTTTTGCTATCTGCTCAACCTAAGAAGCGAAGTGTTTAGTCTTCACATCCAGGAACATATGGTCTTATGAATATGTAGAAACAGGGCAAAGTCAGTGTGGTCTGACCACGATATGCAGTTTATATCAGTCTTATCTACTGTTTGCATGCACACTGTATTTACAAAAAACATGTAAATTTTTGAGTCAGTAGAATGGGGTGCTAATTTTTTTTTTTATAATCCTCAGTATTGCACTCTCCACACGTCGATTAGATCATTCTGTTTTATGAACTTGTGTAGTAACTTAGATTGTCCACCTCTCCCCTCTGAACTCAGTATTCCACGTACCCAACTCATGTCAGCTCTAGAGGAGTAGGAGCTGCTGAACATGTGGTCAATCACTTTATATTTAGACAACCTAGGGAGATGGGTTTCTTGGATTAATGTAATCTCAGTATTTTTGGCATTTTTGTCCTCTTAATAACATCTGTCTCTTACTGGGGATATTTAGCCTATTGATGTTAAAGGGACTCTCAAGTGCCAGGAAAACATCCGTTTTCCTAGCACTGCCCATCCCACCCCCGATCCCATGTTGCTAAAGGGGGTTAAAACCCCTTTAGTGACTTACCTGAATCCAGCACTGATGTCCCTCAGTGCTGGGTCAGGCTCCGCCCACGCTCCTCCTTTACTGTTTTCCTATGGGGATTCCAGTGACTCTGGAGGTCCTCATGCGTAGCGTGAGGACGTCCAGCATTGTTTAAAAACAATGGAAGTCCCTCTAGTGGCTGTTGTTTAAGAACACGGAAGTCCCTCTAGTGGCTGTCTGATAGACAGCCACTAGAAGAGGAATTAACCCTGCAAGAAGGAGTATCTCCATGTGCGGTGGAAATTCTGACTAGATACTATAGGCACCTGATGAAAACCTGTTGGTTGAAATACATTGTGTGTTTGGAAAGCTTATTATTGGTGATAAATATTCACTTTATTTCACAGTTTTTAAAATGAATTTTTGTCTTTCCTTGCACTTTTTTAATATTGATTTTAAACAATAAAAAAAAAAGATTATGGATTCACTGGCTGGTGTGTTGGGGCCTCCTCTTCTATCCAAAGCCCATTAAGGGGGCACCCTGGAGCATATTGAATAGAGCCTGATCACAACTATAATACATGTGAGTGTTTCTAACTACTAAATCATGCAGTCATCTACATTACAGTATTACGCTATATATATTTTTCTCTATTTATTTTTGCCCAGTTATGTAGAATTTTATTTTACTTCTAATCTGTGTTTTTTATCCCCATTTTTAATTTTTCACAGAATAAGGATAAAACATGTATTGTACACCGTGATACAGACAATGAGTAACGAGGCATAATGGTTTCACATCGAGATTTTCAGTAATAGGTCTTGGGTCAGAGTAAAAAATGGTACATCTTATTAGACAATTGCATCAGGAGGTACATAACATTACTTATTTGTACATGGAGTGAGATTGAAATATTATATATCCCTTTTGGAGGCATATCCAAGACCGCTGGGTACTGGGAGGAGGGATCTATGGTAGTGGTATTGTCGTACCATTCGGCAGCGGACAGGTTCGTCTATAGTTCCATTTTACGTCTCTTGTGTCCTGCTCGTTAATTGCATGTATAGTTTTCCCATTGCTCCCATACCTTAGAAAACGTCTTCATGGACCCTCATATTTGAGCTGTCCGTAATGTAGCTTTCCTTATGTTTTGTTGAGTACTATAGTTGGGGGGGGGGGTTTAGCCAAGTTTGGGATAGGGCTCGTCTAGCTGCTAGGGTAATTTTGTTGGTCTGGTCTAGTCCAGTTGTCGAAGGGTTTCACTAGCAGGAAGGCCCATGGGTTCAGGTCAACCGGTCTAGAGAGTATTTGGGATGTCAGTGTCAGGATGTCTTTCCAAAACAATGTTACTTTGGGGCAAATCCACCACATATGCTCACAGGTTTCCTTGGCCCCGCAATCCCGTCAACAGATCTGTGGGTGTCTTTTTCATGTGATACAATTTAACTGGTGTGGTGTACCACCTGAACATTGTTTTGTAAGATTGTACTTGCATTGTGATACAGATGGACGTTTTTGAGTTGGCCTCCCAGATATCCTGCCAGTCAACACCCTCTAAGGTTTCACCTAAGTCCGATTCCTATTTGTCAATGTAATGTAGCTCTCCTCAATCTTTCGTGGTGGAGCAGAGGTGGGAGTAGAGCAGGGTAATCATGCCCCCCTGGTAGGTTTCCTTATGGCAGATTCATTCAAAGAATGTTGGCATATTTATGGCTATTTTTACAGAAGTTTGGTTAGCATAATTTCAAAGTTGAAGATATCGAAAGAAGTCTGAAGGGGTCAGATTTGTTCTGGTTTGTAGTTCTGTGAAGGAGACTATAGAATCCTCAACGTATAGGTGATGGACTCTCTGGGGCCCAGCATTCTCTAGGCCTCTAAAGTCTCTGGCTCTCATGCCTGGTATAAAGGCTCTGTTACAATATATCGGGGTGAGAGGGAAGGACATGAGTTCATATTTGAGGGTGAATTTATCCCATATCTGGATAGCGTTTGTGATGGACGAGCATGATATTTGAAGCAGCGCTCTGTGTTCCCTAGGGGTCCAAATGTAGAATTGCAGAAGGTCTGATCTCATAAGTAGAGATTCAAAGTCGACCCACCGTCAGAGTGCCAGAGGACTATTTGCTGTGTCGGTTTTATATTTACACAAGATGATGAAAGGGTAAGTATTACCCTTTTTCTCTTATACTATATACCATGCTATGTTTGGTGGATGTTTATAGCACTGTGCGCACTTTATATGCTGGTTTATTTGTAGTCTTTCGGGTGTATGACACATGTTATTCAGAGCAGCCCACGCACACTTTAGATGTTCTGCTAATCATTTATTAAAGCACCTTATAACATTACCTGTTGATATTTAAAAGGACATTGTGGGTACCCAGACGACTTCACGAGTGGAGCCTGACCCAGCGTCGAGGTATAACTGCATTCACCAGTTGTCCTTTCTTGCACTACTTTTGGCAGGCACTAGCCACTGCATACAGGGCATACCCACAAGACGTGCAGTTTTTGAGATGCTTCTAAGCATCACCATTTGGTCCATGTCAGTCAAGTCTTGTCACATGCATATATTTCTTATTTCCAACACATGAAATTCAAGAACTGACTGTTCACTTGCTGCCTACTATATCCCACCCTTTCTCAGGTGCCACTGTAACATAATAATCAATGTTATTCACTTCACCTTTCAGTGGTTTTAATGTTGTATGTGTATATACACATGCCCGGAATTGTGAGAGGGGTTTTGTTCAGTCTATATTAATCTAGCTCCTAGCTACCTCCTGACGTTCTGTCGACAAATGGAACCCAGATGCTAGGTTACTGCATACAACTTCCAGTTTGCAGGCTTTCTCAGCTTAGGAATCTGTTCCGTGAGTAGGGAGCCTAGCCTGTAGTCAACTTCCCCTAGTTCTCTTCGACATTGTACATTCAGCCTATGTTTGGCCTTGCTACATATTCTTGTTGGTTCACTACATTCAACCATGCTACATATTCTATTTGGTGTAGTACATTCGGTCTAGAATCAGCTACACTACACATTAATTTTGGCTCAGTACATTCAGCCTACATGCGCCCGCACTTTCATTACTTTTATTTACATTCTTTATTTTGGTTTTGCAGATATGCAGACATAGTTTGACAGACATTCGGATTTGATCAAGACATGGTTTCAAACAAGTGAACATGCTTGTTCGGCCACACTACCTGTCATTAGGCATTTACAAATCCTTAATTGTATCATCGGTTAGTTTCCAGGAAGTTTTACCATTTAATATTACTGCACTGCAGCCCTAGGTGTAATTTATACTAAATGTCCAAATTGCTTGTTGATGACTTTATAAACGTTGGTTTAATACAACATTCTTAAAACTAAACCTCTCAGACTTAATAGTAAAATGAGGATATCCAACTTATCTGCTACATACTTTACGCCACTTCTAGTTTTGGTATTTGGTAACTGAGCTTTCTCTATTCTAGCCGACATGCGGTCATCAAGTTTGTATTTGTCACAGAGCTTCCTCTTTTGCAGGTGTCAGATCCTCATATAGTGGTATTTATTACTTAGCTTCCTCTTTCAGAGATTACAAGCTCTTTATATTGGTATTGATTACTGAGCTTCCTCTTTCACAGAGGTCATGTGCTCATCAGATCAGTATTAATTACTGAGCATCCTCTATCACAGGAGGTTACTTGCTCATTAAATTGATATTGGTTACCGAGCTTCCCATTTCGCAGATGTCACGTGCTTGTCAAATTGGTACTGAAATCTTCAAATATTTACAAAACAATAGAAATAAAAATAAAATAATGGTTTGAGCTTTTTCAACACTAAAATCCCCCTCCCCCACAGTACCAGTCTTCAACATTTTTTACGTGATGCTCCCTTTCCCTTTCCATGTATATAAAGCAGCTCTGTCACCAAAAACCCCCACTTATTTATCTGTTTCAAGAGCCATCTGTCTGCATCTTACTCCCTCCCCCTCCCCATGAGCGCACTCTACTTTTCCTTGTGTATTCATGAAAACCAAACTACTTTTCCTCATGTATAGCATTAAGTTGACTAGCAGAGCTTATTGTTCTGTTTCAGTTGCCAAATTTACTCACAATCCATCAGTCCAAAGAATCCCACACAAGAGCAAACATCAAAGACAGGGAAGAACAAAATGGCTGCATCCAGATATTAAGAAACAGCACAAGGAATACAATACAATAAATATAAATAGAGCAAAGAAGGGAAGGAGTATTAACATTCAGGTGAAATAAAAAAATAAAAAGGGGAAAAGGTTACATTGTCAATTTAAAGGTTCAGCAACTGGCATCGAAATCAAGTTTCAGTCCTGGCACAGCCACATTGGAGAAGGCTCCTGGCCTCCATAAATATATTTTACCATAACAGGCCGCATGGAGGCAGAGGAGAGGCAGGACTGGGCTGCTCTGTACTCACTCCCTGTGAGGCTGCCCCAGCAGTAGCTGGTAAATCCACCTCCCTAAAATGTTTTAGCATGTTGGTATGTCTGCATTTATTAATAATCTGTGTATGTCAGATATACGATTTGATTTTGTTATGTTTGGAACAGAATTAGAGGGAAATGTGTTGCTTTTCTTGCACCCTAGCTATCATTTTTGCACAGAAGCATTTTTAATTATTTGTTCAACTTATTCCAGAGTTCAGCAGAGAGATACTAACACCCAGTGTCGGATACTTACTTTGTTGTGTGAGTTTACAAGTGAATGTGATTTACTGTAGCAACAGAAATGCTAAAAACTCTGTGTAGACAGACCAGTCTTGTCCTGCTGGAAAACAATGACATGCCCGGACTGTCACTGGTCCTTTGAAGATCATTTTGGTAGAGACAAGTCTTTGTGACTTAATGATCAACAAGTTTGATAAAATGTGAATTTGTGAGCCAATGTATGCAACAAAAACATCGGTACATAAGTAAGAATTTTTGTTTCACAACTTCACAATTCAACAGACAAATAAAAAGGCAGTCAATTAAACAGGTTGTTAGATTTATTCCTTTACAAGAACGATTATATACAAATTAGTAACATATGTTACCATCTAATTCTTTCCACTCCTGTTTTAAATATTGTTAAAATGGCATACCAAAGCATTTGAGTGATTCAAAACCGAGGAACAGATGAAGAAGAAAAAGAAAGTAAAAGAATAAAACATGAAACACAAAGAGGAACAGGTTGCAGTATCTTTGTGATTAAGTAGTATACAGAAAAGATTATCAATAGACAAGGTCATCATAACCGAGTTGAAGGCAAATCCAAATTTGATGGCATGTTAAAGAGCATGGAGTGCTCTTGCAAAATGACGCGTTTATATATTCCAATGCATATATTTACTTGCATATACAAAGAACCAGCTATAATCATGAAAAACATGTGTGAAAATGAACCCTTTCAGTGCCAGTGCTGAATAACAAAGTGCCAAGCCCTCCAGACAAGCTTTCTTGAAAACAAAACAAAAAAACTGAAACGTTCCAGTGCATTTAATAGAAAACACACAGTAACAGTTTGGAAGATAAAATGGTATTCTTTTATCCCCATCTAAGTCGCTGCATACTTTAATTCTGTTCAACTCAATAACCTATCAACCTGCACCAGGCACTACTCAACAAGCAGCCTGCGTCTAATATTGGTCTGATCCGGTACTTCCATTAGACATCACTGATTTTAATAAGAAGTACAACTCTATGAAAAGAATTGGATTATCTTCTTGCTGTGTTTGCCTTGACTATGTAAAATACAAAAAAAAAAAAAGGATTTATCCATATCCCTCATTGAAAAAATGAAATTTGCTAAAATTTGGTCAAAACAACCAAGAAATATACACAGAGTTGGAACTTTTTCTTTGCCAGCTTTGTTATTTTGAGCTAGATTAAGCAAATTTGGTTTTCAATTTATCTCAATTCATTGTTTGGTGCAAAACAGATCTGTCACAATCCTGCATTTAACTAAAAAGGCCTCAAACAGAATCAAGATAGCTTTGCTTATCGCACTATGCACTCTTACAATAAAAAACAAAACAAAAAAACAGCCCTAAGGAAAGCATTTCTCATAGCTTAACCAGTCAACAATCATCTAGAAGGTGATAGAATATTCTATATAATTTGTAGGGTTACAAAAGAGAACATCTGCAATTCAGCTCTTCCATGTGACTGAAACATGCAACAGGCTGTGTCATGTAAATGAATACATGTAATTGTTTTTAGCTGGCATAAAGCAGTGTCATGGAATAAGTACATGCTGTTTGGTAAAATGCCATGAGAGTCTATGTGACATTTAAACAGTGTCCCTTATATGGCCAGCTGGATATTACTACTTTGCTCGTTCAATTACTAATTTCAGATATTAAAAAGGAAATATCACAATAGTAGTAATATGGAAGAAGGAAAAAAAAATATTCTGTTGGGAAATCTATTTTATATCATACAAGGTGAAAGATTTTAAAATGGTATGAAAAAGGGCTGGTCACAAATAACAAAACCCTTCCTTAAAAAATTACTGCACACAACAAAAGGGAGGGGGAAATACGGCTTTTAAATGATAGACAAGTTCACATTGGATTTTTTTTATTCATTGCATATGAGCGTCTCCACAGCAAACCTATTCTCAAAGTGAAGGATCTTGTTGCAATTCATAGCTTCTCGTTTCTGGATTCCTGTGAAGAGAACAGAATTTAAAGGGAAAGAAGTTACTAAAGGTTTACCATGGAATATGCATTTGATCATTTCACCAGAATTTTATCTTGAATAAACCTGCAAGACACAGATATAGATCATGACCAACATGAGGATAAGTGCTCAAAATTAAATACTTCACGCTTTCTATGCTTGAATTAATATAGAGAACACTCTGGTGTTAATTAAAGGATATTGTATATCCTGCACTCCAAACTAATTATTTATTTTTACTAAATATGGAAGTTATCTTGTGGGCTACTCACCAACACGTGGCTCCTACTGAAAAAAACCTGCAAGGCAGCCACTTGGTCGTCCTTGCAGACATTTTACTCTTTTTATGGTTTTGATGATTTTGTATCTGTATGTAGTTCTTTTGGCAGGAAGGTACTCTTTCAAGGTTTCCTTATTTAGCCACCATCACCAACCACCCTACATTTTTCTTTGCTAGGTTTTAAGATTCCACAAATTGTCAGATCTCACCAGCCAAGGAAGAAGACAAAATTTAAGTCTGACAAATCTACTTCCTTGTGAGTGGTAAAAGCCAACAAGGCCTCTTGGAGAAAATAAAAGGGGGCATCATGGGTTTCTCCAAACCTCATTTGGGAAGGAACTTACATTACGTGTCACAACTCATGAGCCATCACCATCTCGGAGGAGTTTAGGTACTTTAGTTTTTAGACTAAGCTAAAGAGTATGAACGATTCCACAACTAGTTTTCTACATATGCTTTTGACCTAAAACTTGCTAATTCTCCACTTCCAATTCTTGGTTATAGTAAATAAATTCCTGTACTTATAATAATATTGATAGATTGCTTGAATATACTGTATGTAGCAACAAATTCCACAATACTATTTAGAATGAAAAAAATAAAAAAAAAAACACAAAAAACAAAAACAACCCACCAAACATTTAAAAAGTATGTAAATGAAATAGCAGGAAAGGAGGGACCTGCTCACAAGTACTTCCTATTTAGTATGATTAGATGGTTAACCTTTGGCACTGCAGCAAAAACGCCAATCAGTGCTCCAAATTGATAAGAGTGTGCGGTATACAGAAAATAGGAAGGACTTTTAAAGCAGGAAAGTCACATTTTAACTCTAAAATCATAGCTATATTCACAAAGGCGTAACTAGAAAAAACGTGGTCCCGATGCGAAAACTGCCCTGCCCCCCCCCCTCCCCCCCCCTCCCCAATACGTCTACCGTCCCCCTCGGTCGCAGGGTGGCCGGGGCCCCTGGAGTGACGGGCCTGGTCGCAGCTGCGACCCCAGCAGTTCCGCCACTGTATATACACAAGACAAATATGAAGACTTGAAACAAAATGGAATTTTATTTCAAAGAAATAGAATGCCTTTGTACTCTTCGTCCTCCACCTACTTTGGATTCGTTTATGTTTGAATTCAAGGATTAATCCCAATCATGTGGCATACTAAACATGCAAAGAGAGTTCTCTTTCCTTTTTAATCTTATCACAGATTTAACAAGTACTTATCTAAAGTGGACATAATTCCTAGCATAGGGTTTTCCGGAAGAAGCCAGCATACACATTTGGATTGGGCATTGTTTTCCTCTCAGAGACATGCCCTGGTGGGACATTAGTAAAATGCATCTAATAACTACTAATGTGTCCTTTATTGCAGCACATTTGGAGCATTTATGTAGAAATTAGGATTGGATTCAGTTAACAGCAAATTCTGGTAACTAGGCTATTTTAGGTCAGAATCACGCCATCAGAATCATTTTGACTTTTTTGCCACTAAAATGACCCCAATTCTGATTTGCAGAATTCTTACAGATTAGTCTGGGGCAATATCTTGATTATGCAACAATGGTCAAAGCGAGGCAGAATTTCTCTTGCTATCAGTTTGTTTAGATGTGTCCAAACTGATAAAATCTGAATAAAAACACTCAAAATACAAGCCTGTATTGTTACAATTTGGTTAGAAAATAATCCCCATCATGAAATTTTAAGCATTGCCCAAATACCAAAAGGTGACATTTCTACTTTTATTTATTTATTTTACCTCTGATAGTGTCTCTACGCTGGAGTTTGTAAGTTTCCTTGTCACGGCACAAACGATTTATAAAGGATCCCAAATGACTGACATTTTCAATCCGATCAGTTACCACCA